ATATCATCATACAACTGAGTGATAAATTTGTTTTTACCTTGTACTTTCAAATTAAGTTCGGTTAATTATGCAGTAATATCCACACACCAAAAGTCAGATCTTAGAGTCTACTTTCATCTTTTATTTCATCTGTGTTTTGATCTTTCATCTCCCCCCCCAAAATGATTATTTCTTGTCTCAACAAATAAAATCTTTTCAGTACTTTGTGACATGACATCTGTGTAGAATGGGACATTGGTGAATTGATTATCCATATTTTCCAACAACTGACTGAACTGGCGGTGGTTGAGACCACTTCCTCTGATATAGTTCACTGTCTAAGCACATGATCCAATGTTTAAATCTTTAAAACAAATTTTACTGATGAATAATATAATGAAAACGTTCAAATGATAAATCTGGATGCAAGTTTTTTTTGTAACTTGGCAGTAACATCATTATGTTTGCAGCACCGTCAGTAGATAAGCATACAAGTTTACTCAAATCAAACTATAATTATGCAGAACCTCTTCAACACTCTCAACGATATCATGGCTTGTTATAGTATCATGCATAGGACCAGTTCAATCAGTTCTTCATAAATATTAAATTCAATGTCACAGGCCCCGATGAAGATTGTAAGCTGTTCTATCCCAGTGGTGTCAACGGTCTCATCAATAGAAATAGAAAAATGTTCAAACCTTGATGATACAGACTTCAACAGTTATTTCAAATCCTCTGACATTTTACAAATCCATTTAACAACAGTGTTCCAGGTTAATAAAATGTCCTTGAATAAGTGTGCTTTCTCCGGACATACAATTTCCGCGGTTTTTACAAGGCATTGCTTTACAAAATCTCCTTCACTGTAAGATTTTCCACTCATGGCTATCATTCAGTTGAATTCATAGCTTGCGTAAAAAAGGTCTGTTGCTGTGTCACGTTAGCCTTCAATTCCTTGTGTTTTGCTTTCATATTTAGATGGTTCGTTTCATAATGTCTTTTCAGGTTGTAAACTTTTGGCGTGGCGATGAGGTATTGCAAATTAAATAATGTAGCTTTTCATTCACCGTTGTGCAAAAAAACAAAAAAAAAAAAAAACAAAAAAAACTTAATTCCCCCATTTATTGAAACATTAGCCCTTCTTCATTAAATGTCTTTTTTCTCTTAGCTGGAGAAGCACTAATCATTTTAGGGTTGAAAGTAGTAGGAAAAAAAAAAAAATTTTCAAAATTGATGACGTGGAATCTGAAAAATTACCGGTACATTTAAACTACAGCTAACAGTAAAAAGAGATAAAGAAATTTTGATAAGGTCTCTAAAACTTTTTTGGGTGACATTTCACCTTTAAAAGCAGAAACATTTGAAATTTTGAAAGAATGGTTTGTGTTAACATCTGTTAATGATCTACCATATTGTTTTCGTCATTCATCATCCTTACTTTTTTTGATTACACGCTCTTTTACTGTAATATCTATTATGCTCGATAACCCAGTGTTGATGGCAGGCACAGAAAGGGGACTACAAGAACTCCTAAAGAAGGAAAGCGAGAAGAAATATGTTAAAGATTAATTGCAAGAAAACAGAAAACATGGTTGTCAGAAAAAGGAACAGCCTAACATGAAAATTACAAATTGGAGATGCTGACATCAAACAAGTACAATTTAAATATCTATCTATAAGTGCTTTAACAGAGGACGGAAAGTGCGAAACTGAAATCTGAAGGCGCATTTGGATAGTGAAGGATGCCTTCAAAAAGCTAAGCAAAAAATCAAGAAACAGGAAAACATTGATAGAAACAAAACAAAAGATTACTGAACTTTTACGTAATATCATTCCTCTTAAATAGCAGTGAATGCTGGACAATCTCTTCACAGGTAAAGACGAGAACAGAAATGTGGTTTTACAGAAGGATGTTGAGAATAACATGGACCGAACACGTGAGTAACGACGAAGTTTTACAGAAAATGGAATAAAAAAGGACGCATACTTAACATCAGAAAGAAACATTTAAAATTTTTAAGGCACACAATGAGGAAAGAGCGCTTGGAAAATTTGATACTCACAAGATAGTTTGGAGACAAGAAAGACAGATGAAAACAACGCAAAAACTAGATAATGGGCATGTGAAAATTGACGACAGGACAGGCTTTAGGAAAGATAACAAAAAGATAAAATTTATTAAGAGCTACAAAGGACAGGAAATTGTGGCGAGTCATGATCGCTAACGTCCCGAAAGGACACGGCACATAGAAGAAAAAGAATGGCGAATCATAGTTACTATGTTAACGATTGGTAAGAGAAGGTTTTATATTTTACTGCAATACTCAAACAATGGGCAAGGAAGTGTGCCTGCCTGAGGATGGCAAGACCGAATTGAAATGAAAGCATTTAGAAAAATAATACATGAAGAAGATTAGAAAAATAGGTTTAAATTAAGGCGCTTTATTTTGCATAAACTTATAAAACATCTATTTTGACAATATTGTGGGTGGTCATGCCTCTCCACAACTTCCAATTCTTTGTCATCTACTATCTTTCCTAGTCCCTGTTCTGCCATGGTTATGTTGGTTACTCGATGTTTTCCGCTTACCTTCAGTATGTCTTGTGAGTGTCAAATTCTCCAAGCCGTCTTTTCTCATTACGTCCTGCATACATATATTAACAACTAATTGATCAATAATGTATTCTCCCTTGTTGTTTACAACTTCTTCCCAACGTTCAACAAGATTTTCAATACCTCGTTAGAAATCACCCTGTTTCGACTCGAAAAATTCACCCAACTAAGCTCTCAATTCTGCATCAGTATTGAACAAAACTCTGCGCATAGCATTTGAAAGAGATCGAAAGAGGTGGAAATCCGTTGGTGCTAAATCGGGAGAGTACGGTGTGTGTGGTAGCACTTCCCAGTCATCCGTTTGAATGGATTCCTTGGTCATATTGGCGATATGAGGGTGGGCGTTATCGTACAACAAAAGAACTCCATGCTGCCGACTAGGTCTTTTCTCTTGAATAGCCGTGTTGAGTCGTTCGATGTGTTGAACATAGAGTTCCACGTTGACCGTTTGGTTCCGTTCAAGCAATTCGTAATGGATAATCCCTTCCCACGTCCACCATACGCACAACATCGTTTTACGCGGATGAAGATCTTGTTTCACGCGGATGAAGATCTTGTTTCACGCGGATGAAGATCTTGTTTCACGCGCGGTGTCGCTTGTTTATCGGGGCTAAGCCATTTCTTTGCGCTGTTTCATATTGATGTACAGGCATCATTTTTTGTCGCCATTAACGATTCGGTAAAGAAATCATTGCTTGTGTCCATGAGTTTAGCAGTGACGAGCAAGCAAACCAGCGGATATTGTGGCTGGTTGATTTTTGTTGTTGTCACTTAAAGCATGCAAAACCCATATTCCGCACTTTCGAACCTTTCCCATCAAGTGAAGATGCTCTTCTCTATAGCAGTTTGGGAGCATTCCATTTTCTCAGCAATTTTCCTTGTCGTTTGGAGAGAATTTTCACGTAAAAGTTGGTTTAATCACTCTTCATCGAACTCAACTGGACGGCCAGAACGAGGTGCGTCTTTGAGTTCAAAATTTCCATTCTTGAACTTGGCATACCAATCACAAGCGCTTCTTTCAGCTATGGCATCCTCTCCATACCCAGCACAAAAGTCGCGAGCAGATCTTGCGGCCTTAGAACCTTGATTAAAAGCAAAAAGAAGGAGGTATCGAAAATGCTAATTTTTCTTAACTTGGCATTCCATGTTAATGATCTGAAAATGAACAGAAATTAACTTAAATTAACTCGAAAAATACAAAATAGATTAAAAAATGATTCCCAAATAGAATTCTCGAAAAAATAGATTCCATAATTTAAAAACACAATAGATTCCAAAATGAAAAAAAAAATGTTGGGAACTTAGTTGCCAATCCAATAATTTGGGTTTTGATTTATTTTTTATTTTTCTTACTTTTTTTATTCGTATCGTTTTTTTTTTTTTTTTTAGTTTCTTTCGCATATGTGATTGTTCTGTGAACTGTTTTTTCTGTGTGTGGCTCCCGGCCAATAATGGCTGAGTTTTTATAGCGATCAGAACAACCAGCGAGTGCTCATGGGCGGCAGACAGGCCCCCAAAAAAGGCGCTTGAATAATACATAAATGTATGGGAAAAGTACCAAGACTTTATTTCAGGGAATGAGCTCCTGATCGTGCCCTCAGCCTTGGAGGTTATTACTAAAAAGACAATTTCCCTGTTGTCATCGGATGTAAAAACCAGAAAATTGGTGGGTGTCAGCAGGGAACGAATGGAGGAATCACTCAAGTGTCTCAACATTGTGGTGAAGGTGTCGGCGAGGAGATCGAATACAATGTGGGACATTCTGCCAACGTCGAAAGAAGGGGAAATAACTCTAGCCAGAAGCATCCTCACAAACTAGTCGATGAGGATGCAAACTGAATATATGGGCACCCGAAGGACCAACATTACTTTTCCTGGGGTGCACATGGATGTGGAAGAGGAGTATGGGCAGGTCGAGGTGTCATCAGTGACGAGTAAAGTTAGCATTGCCATCGGGGATATAATCCTGCAGGTGACAATGTCCCGGAGGTGTTTCCAGAAGATTCCCGACACTGACTTGCCAAGGCAGGACGATCCTCATCATTGTAGAAGGTGGTCGACCCCACTGCTGGAACTTCGGCACCACGGGGCACCTGTTAAAGGCGTGACCCGGCAAGAACCCCGTGCAACATCGAAGGAAGCAGTGGGACCATGAAAATCCTTCTGGGCCCCCACTGGCCATAATGGATGGATGGAAGTAGTGAGGAGGGGAAAAAAGTCTGAAACATTTCCTCGACAGAGGGATGTCCCACAGCCCAAGAATCAGCAGTAGCAAATATTAGCAGCAGCAACAAAATAAACTGCAACAAGATACTCGAAAGAAAACATATCCGATCTAAAAGCTACCATTTAAGAAGAATCTGATCTCGTAGCTTTGTGAATTTGCGAGACGAATTTGTAGCTTATGCAACCGAGGGAACAGCAGACGGGCAGTAAAATCCGACGAGTCGAGTGGTCGTGCTTTGTGTATGGGGATTCGCAGTAGTCTTACCGACTGTGATTGAAAAAAGACAGGGTACTGTTGTTACTCCAAACAGGCATACCTTTTTGCAACAATGTCTTTTCCAAGGTTATTAGTGTTAAAGCGACTAGAACAGAATAGGCAGGAATTTGAACCATTAACTTATTTCAAAGGTTTATTAATTAGGGCTACTATATGTTCTTGAAATTGTCCTGTTTTCAACTCAAAAATTGTTTGTAATTTAATAGAAAAATAGTGAAATTCTCTTGCACTTTTACACGTGAGAATTATATTCGAATTAACTGCTATCCGTTAGTAAAAACAAAAATAGAAAATATCAGTTGCAAGTCTACAGCTTCAGTGTACCCCACTTGTCTATCAATCTGTCAATCTATCTAGCTTGTACATACATACATACATACATATATCTATCTATCTATCTATCTATCTATCTATCTATCTATCTATCTATCTATACGCACACACACAGTTTTCTACGCTTTTGCCTCTATTTCGCTAATATAGTGATCTTGATGCTCACTGGATGGATACACACAGACGCACAGACATACATAACTTGACAATTTGAATGAAATGTATCTAGTCTGTTCCTTATCTATCTATCTATCTATCTATCTATCTATCTATCTATCTATCTATCTATCTATCCACACACACACACACACACACACACACACACACACACACACACACACACACACACACACACACACACAATTTGAATAAAATCGAAATAGACATCTGCTTCGCAAGGGCTAATTTCAATTTCTGCCTGCCAACAAACCTCGAGTAACAGGAAAAGAGTATAAGTTGAAATTCGTGGCCCTTTGAAGTCATTTTGTAACTCCTATATATGAACTGAATATATTTTCTAAATAATATGTTATTTTAAAATGGCAGGAAATTTATGTTTGAAATTTGATTATCTTGCTCTTAGCGGAAGCGATAGGCAGTGAAATGAAATCAAATTGAATATACTTCTCCAATATTGTTTCTAAATCGCTATGTTTCAACTTCTAAGGAAATGTTTTAGGCTTCTAAATTTGATGCAACCAAACTTTGCCATAAAAACTTTATTAAATTGATCTGTTCAATTTTTCTTTCAACAGCTTCTTGCGACAACGATTTTGAAGAAGAAACGGACTTAACTGAGGAACGTTTTACTGAAATGATTAACGATTACGCACTTCGCGTAGTAAAATCTTCATTCGATAAAACAGAAGAAAATTTCTTCCTCTTTCCAATAACTGTCGTTTCTATGTTATCTTCGCTTTATCTGGGATCAAACGGTACGTTTGCTGACGAACTGGAAACGACGTTAAAAATAACAAATAAGGACAACATCCATAGCGCTTTTGCAACTTACTGGAAAAAATGGAATTCATTGAGCAAATATCATAATTTAAAAACTCGTAATTATATCTTAGTGAACAATAATGTTTCGTTATCTGAGACGTACAAAAGCAACGTAACAAAATATTATCCAAATTCGATTTTACAAAGTGTTGCTTTTCCCGATAGTTTGGATGACATCAATCAACTCATTTGGGAATTAACTCAGAAAAACATTAAAAATGCAATCAAGGAAGACGACGTAACACCAGAAACTTTATTATATCTGGTGAGCGTGGCTTATTTAAATGTTCAGTTTGTTGTTGACTTTCCTATTATGGAATCGAAGGAATTTTATTTAATGGATGAACATAATAAGTTTGTTCTACATGAATCGATGTTTGTATCCAGTTTTTTTAATTATAAAAGAGATAAGGAAACTAAGTGTGATGTTGTTCAACTTGAAATGAATAATTCTGCTCTCAGCATGTTTATCATCGTCCCAATCAAAGGTACGCGTCTAAGTCTTTTCAGAAATAACATGGAAGCAGATAGATTAAAATCTTGGATACGTACGGCTGGGTTTCAGAATCTTAAGATTAACATGCGATTACCAAAAGTCCTTATGAAAAGAATTTTACCATTGAAATCTATAATAGCTGAGAGTCTTTTTGATGAAGACGAAATGGATTTATCAGGTATGGTTAAGGAGCAGAAAGGTCTATTCGCGAAACAATATTTGGAAGTTGGTGTTATGGATTTTAATCAGAGTAATGAGTTTGGAAGTGGAGAATTTGACCCTGACGCCGTCTCAGTTGAAGCAGTTGTGCCATTTGTATATTTTGTAGCCGAAATGAAAACAAAAATAGTTATCCTTGCAGGGACATATAGACATCCATAGTTTTATTAAGTCAAAGACTTAAAACAGAAAAAGAAGAAAAAAGACATCATTCCAAATAATTTTTATTTGTTATATATAAAACAGATTAAAATCTTCCAAATACAATGTTTTTGTTTCTATTTTCAGAATGTGCTACTTGTGTTTATATTTTTTTTGTTTGAATCCTATGAACGGTAACAACTGTGAACAGTAACAAACGAAGAAAAAGAATACTAGAATAAGGGAGATAAATCGAAAACATACAAGGGGGGCAACTCAAAATATTTGTTGCAAGAGTTATTGCCCATGAAACATTTCACTCCGACTTAAGTCTCGATAACTCGGTAACACGCTCTCTTTTATGTATACATAAATATACACACACACACACACACACACACACACACACACACACACACACACACACATGCATACATATTCACATTTGTAGAATTAGGTAACTCCACCAAATCGCTAAAAAAATAGCTATCGTCTAAAACTTTATCTTATTATTAAGAGGAAAGACTAAAGTTCCTTTTTAATTATTTTAAAAAATTTTCTTTCTTTTTAGAACATTCTAAATTTTTATTAAAAAAACCTTGTTTCTCTTTGTATTACCGGAACTAGTAAAATAACATACAATTTTTAGCACGTATTTTTTTATATGATACACATTAATTTGGAAAATCTTGCAAAAATAAAAATAATTGTCGGATGTTAATGAAACTTTCAGGAACTATTCACAGATGATCGAAATTATTATAAATAACATTTTTTTTTTTATTAAAGTCATGGCAGAAATATTAATTTTTATATTTATTACCCCACCATAACTAATTTTATGAAAACGCTAGAATTTCGATCGCATCGGCTTTAGTGATTACAATAGCACAAGGTTTTGAGGAATGCAAATCAGGGTTTTTTTTTTGTATTGTAACATACAAAACTCAATAAAACAAAGATATTAATTAATTTCAAATGTTTTATTTGCTTTTAGTTGATTTTTTATTCTATAAATATGGACAATATTTTCTGAAAGCAAAATATTTTTTCGATGAAAAATGAATTTTTAATACAATTATTTGTTATTTCTTTAATTATAATAGATTTGTACATTTAAGTTGCTAAAAATTAGTTTTAAAGCCACATCGGGTTTCCTAAGTGTCCTTATGCGTTTTAAATTGCATCGTTTTAATTAATCAGAAGACCCGCAGTAATTAAGAAATGTAATTTTGTGTTTATAATCAGGCTGTAATTATAAAGTACGGAAGACCAACCAGAATACAATTAAGTTGCGTTATTTGAGTTAATCATTGTTCTCCGCTGTTAAGGCTTTACTTTTGCGAAACACGTATAGAGAAGTTAATTTGATTTTTCAATTTCAACTGAGAAGGGTACCTACAAGTATCAGTATCATCTAATGAAATTTATATGATCTTATTTTTATATTAATCTTAGTTATGACATTTTTCCATAAATGTAATATCAAAATTAATAATAAAATGAATGGAAATACAAATAGCACAGTAAAATGTAATAAATGTACATAAAATTATAGTATTTTATGTACACTTCTGATAAAATTTCATAAGAAAGATACCTATAAATTAATTAGATACCTTTCTTATGAAATATTATCTCACTCTTAAGAGTCTTATTTTAATTTCTTTATATATTTTCCGTAAAGCATCGTAAACGTAAAGGTGAAAGCTAAGTAAAAAAAAAAAAAATTGAGCGCTGAAAGTTTTCCATAAAAATAACGAGGTAAATAATTTGTTCACTTAAATCTAAATAACTTCACTTTTCTCCTTCCGTTGAAGAAATTATCCTCACGGAATCCGTCAATATGTCATTTATCACTTGTCAAGTGAGGCGAAAGTTTATGACCTGCTTTGTTTTATTTTCAAATTACATCTTTTCGGCGCAGAAGCTAAGTCAACCTTGATTCAAAATATTTTAAATAAACATTATAATTTAGGATTTTCTTTAAAAAATACGTTTTGAAAAATGATAATTGATTTTTAAAAGAATTTCAAAGTGAGATTTTCATCTTTTTTATAAAATGGAAAAAAATGGATGACATAATCGATTATCTGTCAATTTTGCTGTCTAAAAAAAAAAAAAAAGATTTTTAACGAAAATTTCGGACGTGCTCGGAACGATTAAAAAATGTAAAAAAATACTACCAAAATACTTTGATCTTTCCTCTTAATAGCAACATGAACATTTTAGACGATAAAATTTTGTTTTCGTCAAGTTTGGCGTCTTTTTCATCATGCTATGCTCTTTTTTTAGCGATCTCATGGAGTTACCTATGTAAAATGGATTCGACATAAAAATATTGCTAGAATACGGCAAAGTTTAATCCGTAACTATAGCTAATAAAAATATAAACATAACTTGCTATGAATATTTTATTTTTCATTTTTATATATCACCTTTAATATACTTTATATCTTTACGAATTTTCCCTATACAAAACACCTACGGTCAAAACACACTGAAAACGACCGTTCCCGTTCGATCACTGAAGTTAAGCTGCGTCGAGATCGGTCAGTATTTAAATGGGGGACCGCTTGGGTACATCGGGTACTGTAAGTAACCCCCCGATAATTCGAAATATGTTTCAGCTTTAAATAACCAGCAAACGGTTGATAAACCGTAAAATTCTAGGGGTTATTGAATATAAATAATTGTGAATCTGAATGCATCTTTGTGCCTATTTTTTAGTGCTATTTGCGAATACAGAACTCCAAAATAGCTCCCAAACTGCATTCGGATTCACAATTATTTCCACTCAATAGCCCCTAGAAAAATTTGAAACATAACCCTTACCGCCCACTCAATAGCCGTTAGAATAACACAATAGACCAGCATATATAAATAGTTGAGCCAAAACGCAACACACATGTTCTGAAGTTTGCATACAAGCATGAAAAAAGCCGCCACTTTTGGATGTTCACCTCAATGTCTATCTTCAATTTTAAATTAAACATATGTTTAGCATCCGACGAGTCTAGACGCCCAGCTCAACCGATCTTATTCAGTTTCCCAACGCTTTTGTCTTTTATTTAAAAAACCCAAAAAAACAACGGCTATAGAAATAAAAACGAGAGCGAATGAAATGTAAAATAAGCATTCGCTAGTGTCGTGAGTTCCTTTTTGTGAATATTGTATCCTTTTGTCATAGTTAATTAAACATTTGCTTAAACCACTTCACCCCAAGCAAGGCGAAAATGCAACTAAGGTACACGGAGCTACTGAGAGTGAAAGAAATTGAGAAAACGTTTTTAGTAGAAAGGAGAATAAAACTAAAAAGATGACAAATGACGTTGCGCTTAAATTGCAAAAAATCGTAGTTGACAGGAAAGCAAGAATATAAACGAGTATTTCACAGTCGAGAAGTGCGGTAGAAAAAACTAAAATAGAACTTATGATTACATCTACCCATTTCAACAACAATAAAATGATTAGACCCAGTATCCAATCTAGTAAAAAGCTTAAATTTATAAAGTCGAGGTAACAAGGAGAACGGTTCATTAGAATAATCAAAGTTACTAGTACACAAACCAAACCCACCTATAACTGCAGAGCAAAGAACGAATATCCGTTATTTGCTTACAAAACAATGTAATATACCAACACACTGTAAAATCAGCAGATAGCTAAGAAAAATATACATAGGTGTAACTGACGGACTCTGGAAACAGAGAGATACACACACAAAATATGTTTTGGAAATAGTAAATACTAAATAGTAACGCTTTCTAAACATATATAGGAAATTAAAAATAAAAACAAAATTACGCAAAAAATATAGGAAATAGAGAAAATAGCATCAGGCTATCGAAAAAAATAAAAGAAAACCATGTAAACTTTGTAAGAGAAAATAGCAATAATCACGTTAAGACAAATTACTAAATAAACGATTAGAAATTATTTCAAAATGCAGACACGAAAAAATTTTTTTACTACCTTAAAAAAATCGGAAACTAAAAACAAATCCCTTGCAAAATAGCACTATGATAAAGGCAAATATATTCACTATATACAACGCAGATAACGTAAGACTTTAAATGCTTTAAACAAACCAAATAAGATAACCAACGCCGGAAAATAAAATATAAAAATAAGCAAAATAAAATATCTAAATAAATAAACAAATTAAATAAATAATAAACAAAAACTACTAGTGTCGATAAACAAAACTGCTAATGTAAATATACACACACACACCTACACGCACACACACACACACACACACACACACACACATATATATATATATAGTTAAAAAGTATGCTTCATAATGGTTAATAGACTAGCCGAAAGTGCTCGGATATATAGAACATTTGTTGAGTTTTTACACACTCTGTATCCAGAAAATAAATCACTTGTACGACTTCAAGAAAAAAGTAAAAATGCTTAATTGCAGTACCATGTCAGTCGCCTTTAATATATATATATATATATATATATATAATATGATATAGTCGCCTCCTCCTCTGCCATACCCACAAAATATAATCGTTCACATTTCCACAAGTCATTCACAGTGGGAATCAAATAAAATCAATAAATAACGCATCGGTGGTTATTAGCTTCGAGAATCTATCATTCCAAAGTCAATATATATATATATATATATATATATATATATATATATATATATATATATATAGTCTTAAGATTTGCTATATTTATGGGATACGTGCTTAATATCAGAGATAGAGCGTGTGTAAATATAAAGTGAACACAGAAATCAACACTTAGAGGCGACAGTCTGTTTCATGCTAGACGCAATCGGACGATTGTGTCTCGCATGAAACATACTGTCGCCTCCAAGTGTTGACTTCTGTGTTCACACACACACACATATATATATATATATATATATATATATATATATATGGTATTAACTTGTAAGAGTTTTGGGGTGAAAATTGCTAGTTCTTTTTTCGTAGTTTACTGGTGGGAAAGCATTTTAGACAGACAATCTTTTTTTCATAAAGTGCTCAATATCAAACGGCAAGGAAAGAGTGTTAATAGAATTAATGTGGAGAAACTTATCACTTGAGTGTTGTTGGTTCAGTCATGTCGTCTTCGAAGTTTCGTGAGCGCATCTCAAGCAAACTTCCGTGACAGCATCGCAAGAGAAGCCAACACCCCTGAAGAATGAAAGTATTACTGCAAAGTGCTCACGAAACTTCGAAGTCAGTTAAGTGATAAATTTCTCCACATTAAATACTTCGCTCCCTGTCTCTGTCTGTCTGTTCCTCTCTCTCTCTCTCTCTCTATATATATATATATATATATATATATATATATATATGTGTGTGTGTGTGTGTGTGAAAATATATAGAAAATAGGAAAGACTCATTAGGTAAATAATCCAAAGTTCTTTAGTATTTCTGTTATTATTTTTAAAAAACAATGCTCGATACAAAAGTAGAGCTTAATATAATTATTCATTTAAAAATATGATTCCATCGCTACATAAGAGTTTCCAAACAAGAGCCGAAAACTTCAATATAATTATTTGAATTAAATTGAATTAAAGTACCAAGTTCTGTTCCATCTTCAAGCGAAATTTTTTTGGAATAAATAATTCTTGAAATTTACGCGTTTTATAAGCATATTCATTATTAAAATTAAAATTACTATGGTAACGGCTAGAGCAATTATTTAAAAAAAACAAAAAAGGGTCGTAAGGGTTAATAATTTGTATCAATATCTTAGTTACATTTAAAGAGGTCAAGTCAGGTTATGGTTGGGGTGTCTAAATTCAAAGCGGAAGATGACATCGTCTAGTCTGGTTCAGCGTCTATGGAGATTTATTTATTTTTTTATTTTATTTTATTTTCTTTCCCTGAAAGGGTTTTATTTATATATAATAATAATTCGCTAACATTTTTTTGACGACTTCATAAAGGGTATTTTTTTATTTTTTTTATTGGGTAGGGCATTTAAACGTTTTATTTAGACTATGGAGTTTAAAATTTGTATTTATTATTTTATTGTTTGTTTGTTTTTTATGCTAATTATTCAATGCGAAAATTTCGGCTCTTGATTTGAAACATGAGAACTCTTATGTAGCGATGGAATCATTTTTAAATAAATAATTATATATATAGAAATATATATATATATATATATATATATATATATGATTAACAACTCTGAAAAATATTTGTAAAAGCAGACAATTCCAGGATAAAGTTATAAGATGGCGACCAACAATTACAATAAATTAGAAAACTAAAATGAAGCAACAGAATAAAAACAACTAGCAAAAATAGAAACATTTATTAAATTAAAAACCATAAGGGCATCTCCAAGACAAAACCAATAATTCAAAATACTAAACCCCACAAAATGAAACATTGGGAATTTAAGCAAACAAATACTGAAAAAAAAATATGCTCAATCTTAAGAAACATTAAACATAAACCAATAGAAAAACTCAAAAGCAACAATTAATGAGTTTGATAACATTAACAAGAAAGAAAACTGTTCTTTCACGTAATTTTTTTTATAAAAGACTTTTTACCAATCTATCAAAGAGAGTATAGTAAATAATGCACTAAACTTAAAAAAAGTATACGACTATTCCCAATCATATATATATATATATATATATATATATATATATATACTAAAACACTTTTATTCTACTACAATAAAAAATATGGACGGAAAAGGTAAAAAACATTGGCACAATTTTGGCGTAACAAGGGGTAGCTATGATAGTGCTGTGGGATTCGAGCTTGTAGGCATATACATGATAAAAAAATGAGCAAATATAATTAAAAAAAGGTATGGGTCTCCAGGGATGATGAATGATTACTTCTTAGACATTGTGACGGCAGAACTACAGAGAAAAAAAATAAGAAAAGAAATAATAATCCTAGGACTCCCAATTGGTATAAAATCCAACCAGAAAATATTAAATATTCTGGATATAACCTTCAACCTAAACACCGGAACATAGAAACCATAGAGAAAATCAAATAACATTTCAATATATATTAACAAAAATTCCAGCCACCTCCTGCCGTATACAAAGAAATATATAATCAAAAGAATATCAATAAATTCTAGCAACTAAAATATTTAATGAAAAGGAAAATCCATACGAATCAGCTCTAATAAACAGCTCATATTCAAGCAAGTTAGAATAAAAAACGAAAACAATACGAACAAAAACAACAGAAAACTAAATATAATTTGGTTTCCTCCTCCCACACCTATAATAATATAATAAAACGAAAATAGGCATAATATTTTCAAACTAATTGAAAAACATTTCCCTAAAAACATCAAATTATCAAAAAAAATGCAATCAAAATTAGTTACAGCTGCGTGAATAACATGGAGAAAATAACTAATCACAATGAAAATACTCAACAAAACCAATTGCAACAGCAATAATAACATCCAGTAAAAACACCATCATATATAATTGCAGAAACAAAGAAAACTGCTCACTTAACAATAAATGTTTAACCAATAATATAATATACAAATTTACCGTAACTAATAGCATTAACAATGACGAAAACATTATATAGGTGTTACAGAAAAAACAAAAAACAAAA